GACCGATCTGACCATACCTAAGTTTTTCAAATTTCCAAACATCAAAATAAACATTTATCAATTATCATAAGTACGACACTCATCAGTCTCAGGATTATCACTACAATACTCTTCCAAAGGATCAGAACCAGTAGCTTTCTTCTTGTCTCTAGCATGACTCGCCGCCGCACTCAGCTCCTCCACCTCATCCCACGCCGCAACACACTCACCACTCACCGGATCATCGGCGCAAGTCTCCTTCGCTTCTTGAATACTCTTCTCCACTTTCTCCGATATCCCTCCTTCCGATGTCGCCTTAACCGGTTTCACCATCCGGTTCATCGAACCGAATCTCCACGGATAATTCAAACGTACCGGAGCGGTTAAACGAGCCGCCGATGGTCGAACGACCGATCGTGGAGTCGCGACGTTGAGACTGGTTGCAGCTATGGTAGTCATCGTTTGGAGGATTTTTGATGAAGGAGAGATTTTTTGCTGGAGAAGAGAAGAAGGAGATAAATACTGGTTTACGTTATTGATCTTGTGCACACAATCCTCTTATCTTATTAGAACCAAGCATATCGTGACGCGTGTGTTTAGATATTTTTACAAGAAACTATTCTTTTTCGAAATTATTATTTTTCATTTTTCTTCATTTTTGTTTTAGCCCAAGACATTGTGTAAGAGAAATAATCATTTTTAATCTGTTTTTTTAGTATAGACCAACATAACAAAATTTAAAACACTAAATCATTAATCTATTACCAGTTACCACTTGAACTTGATTAACCAAAAATATATTAAAATGATATCATTGACAACATTTTTTTTAGCATATAATTTAACGTAAAAATTTATAGTTATTTACTTTTTAGTATTTTAGTAGAAATATTTTTGTTGTATTTGACAAATTTTTATTTAGAAAATGGAAGAACTTTTGTTGGGCCATATTCGAGAAAAGAATCACTAGTTGGGCCATAGCTAGGGCCCACATAAGCAGTGACGTGCACAAAGATATGGTGCACTCGACCGTATCTGAAAACGCCTTGCCGATATTTTTTCCTCATTTTCATGTTAATTATGATTGGATATAAGTTTATAACCGTCCAATAGAAAAATAAGGGAATCATCGAACTTTTAAAAAAGTCATAACAAAAGTGAGATATTAAAAAAAATAAAAATGATACGCTTTCACAAAGCAGTAGCTTCTCATCGTATCTCTCTATCGTCGTCTCTCTGCCATTTCTCTCCGCCGTCTCCGTCGTCTGCTTCTCTCCTTCTACCTCCAAAGCTTTCCAGATTATCGACTCTTCGTTGCTCAAGAGTTCGCCGATTCTCTGGAAACTCGTTGACTAATACTGTCATGTCTTCAAGTTCCGCTTCTAGGCTTCGTTGTCTCGCATCTATAGGTCCCGGAGTTGGAGAAGACGGTGGTGGTAGTAGCTCTAATGGCTCATTTTCAGCTTCTGCTTCCGCTACTGAAGATGATGGTAATTGCTCTCCATTTCCGTCGATTTAGCTCGATTCAATTGATACTGGAAATGAAATTCTTCTTACTACTAGTCGATTGTGTAGAATTTGGAATGAGACTTGGATTTGGATTCCGCTAGAAATCAATTTTGAGTGTTCGATGATAGCTTATTTGATTTTTTTGTAATCAGAGAGATATGTGTGTTGACATAAGTTTTTGTTGTGTGTTTGAACTATGTAGAATTGGCTTTAGGCACTGGGTATCGTCTTCCTCCACCGAATATTAGAGATATTGTCGATGCCCCGCCAGTACCGGCATTGTCATTTTCACCACATAGGGATAAGATCTTGTTTCTCAAGCGGAGAGCTTTGCCTCCGCTTGGTGATTTAGCTAGACCAGAGGAGAAGCTTGCGGGTGTTCGAATTGATGGATATTGCAATACCAGAAGCAGGATGTCGTTCTATACTGGTTTAGGAATCCATCAGCTATTGCCTGATGGTACATTGAGTCCAGAGAAGGAGATCACTGGCATTCCAGATGGCGGTAAGATCAACTTTGTTACATGGTCCAATGATGGTAAGCATCTGGCTTTCAGCATCCGAGTCGATGAGAACGGAAATAGTAGTAAACCTATAGTATGGGTAGCTGAGGTTGAGACTGGAGTAGCTAGACCACTTTTTAAGTCACAAGATATTTACCTGAATGCGATTTTCGAGAGCTTTGTTTGGATTGATGATTCCACTTTGTTGGTAAGCACAATCCCTTCATCACGTGGAGACCCACCAAAGAAACCTTTGGTCCCATCTGGTCCCAAAACTCTATCAAACGAGACGAAGAATATTGTCCAAGTTAGAACATTCCAGGATTTGCTTAAGGATGAATATGATGCTGATTTATTCGACTACTATGCCACATCACAACTAGTATTGGCTTCCTTGGATGGTACATCAAAAGAAGTTGGGCCGCCTGCAGTATATACATCGTTGGACCCTTCGACAGACCATAAGTACTTGTTAATCTCATCCCTTCACAGGCCATATTCCTTCATTGTACCTTGTGGTAGATTTCCAAAGAAGGTAGAAGTCTGGACAGCTGATGGTAAATTTGTAAGACAGCTATGTGACTTGCCCCTAGCCGAAGATATTCCCATAGTCTCCAATAGTGTCCGGAAAGGAATGCGTTCAATAAATTGGCGAGCAGACAAGCCATCAACCCTTTACTGGTAAATATTTGAGATTCAAAGTGATTCACATGTAGTACATGTTCGAAAATGTGATTTGGAAATAATTCATTTACATTTCTCTGAGATATTTAGGGCAGAAACACAAGATGGAGGTGATGCCAAAGTGGAAGTTTCACCACGTGATATAGTTTATATGCAGTCTGCGGAACCACTGGCAGGAGAAGAACCAGAAGTTTTGCACAAGCTTGACCTTCGCTATGGGTAAAAACTAAAAAACACAGCAGATATTGTAGATTTATCTATGCCATCTGTTATCAGCAATTCAAACTAACTTCATGGAGGTCTTCTATGTCCTAACATTGATCCGGTTTTATCACTGCAGAGGGATTTCTTGGTGTGATGATACATTAGCTCTGGTTTATGAATCATGGTATAAAACACGACGGACAAGGACATGGGTTATCTCTCCTGGATCTAACGATGTCAGTCCACGCATCCTGTTTGATAGATCATCGGAAGATGTGTACTCAGACCCTGGGTCAACCATGCTGAGAAGAACCGCTGCTGGAACGTATGTAATAGCAAAGATAAAGAAAGAAAATGATGAAGGCACTTATGTCTTACTGAACGGAAGTGGAGCTACACCACAAGGGAATGTACCCTTCCTTGACTTGTTTGACATGTAAGCCTTACCTGACAATGGCTTCTCTTTCTTGCTCTTTTTTATCTTGATTTTATTGCCATCAGGTGGTAACAAACTGGGAATGTTGTGTACAAAATTTATCTAGAAACACAGGAAACAAAGAACGGATCTGGGAGAGCGACAAGGAAAAGTATTTCGAGACAGTAGTGGCCTTGATGTCTGACCAGAAAGAAGGGGATTTGAGAATGGAGGAGCTGAAAATTCTGACATCAAAGGAGTCTAAAACCGAAAACACCCAATATTCTCTCCAACTTTGGCCTGACAGGAAAGTGCAACAAATTACAAACTTTCCTCATCCGTATCCCCAGTTGGCTTCATTACAGAAAGAGATGATCAGGTATCAACGAAAAGACGGGGTTCAACTTACTGCAACACTATACCTACCACCAGGCTATGATCCAGCAAAAGACGGTCCTCTGCCTTGTCTGTTTTGGTCTTATCCTGGTGAATTCAAGAGCAAAGATGCTGCTAGTCAAGTCCGTGGCTCTCCAAATGAATTTGCAGGCATTGGTTCAACTTCTGCCCTTCTTTGGCTTGCTAGAAGGTATCAAACATTTTCCACGCCCTGATATCTTTCTGCTTCAGTTTCTTGGAGTTTTTTTTTTTAATTGAGCTTGTTGATTGAGTGCTAGCTTGTATAATCTGGATTCTTCTGCGTTGTGCAGGTTTGCAATATTATCTGGACCTACTATACCTATAATTGGTGAAGGTGATGAAGAGGCTAATGATAGGTACTGTGATATTTACTTTCGACAAGATGGTAGCTAAAACATGGAAACCAGTGTCGTTTTCTTGATAAAAGTTCCGTGTTAGCATAATGTGCTTGAGCTTGACAGGTTCTAATGTGAACAACTATAACAACATTCTCAGGTATGTAGAGCAATTGGTTACAAGTGCCGAGGCTGCTGTAGAGGAAGTCATCAGGCGTGGAGTAAGCATTGCTTGATCCTAATTCCATCATCCTTGTTATTGTATTAAACCACAAAAGTGTTTGAAACTTAGTATTTTTGGCCCTCCATTTATTTAAGGTGGCTCATCCAAGCAAAATCGCTGTTGGCGGACACTCCTATGGAGCGTTTATGACTGCAAATCTCCTTGCTCATGCTCCTCATCTTTTCTCCTGCGGAATAGCTCGATCTGGCGCTTACAACAGAACACTCACTCCCTTTGGTTTCCAGGTGCCATGACCATTGTCTTTCTTGTCTCATTCTCCGCGTTCGGAATTTCTGATAGATACTGATTTATCTCAGGCTAACCTGTGACTCCGCCTGAATTTTTTTCAGAACGAGGACCGAACTCTATGGGAAGCTACTAACGTCTATGTAGAGATGAGCCCATTCATGTCTGCTAATAAGATCAAGAAGCCAATCTTGCTCATCCATGGTGAAGAAGACAACAACCCAGGAACTCTAACAATGCAGGTTAAAAACAGATCTCATCTGCACAATTTTATCTCTTTCCAGACCAAAACTTCACAACGAATCGCAAAAAAGATTCCTATCTAAATCTCTCTCTAACTACTTTCATTTTATATACTTTGTATAACAGTCGGACAGATTCTTCAACGCACTGAAAGGCCACGGCGCTCTTTGCCGCCTTGTTATTCTTCCTCACGAGAGCCACYGYTACTCYYCACGRGAAAGCATTATGCACGTTCTWTGGGAAACTGACRGCTYGCTTCAAAAATACTGTGTTCCAAACACATCAGATGCAGACACAAGTCCTGACCAGACCAAAGAAATTTCAGATTCTGCAGACAAAGTAGCGACTGCTACAGGAGGTGGTAATCCAGAGTTTGGTGAGCAAGAAGATCACTCCAAGCTAAGGAGATCACTTCTCTGGTAATGTGTCTCACAATTCCCAAACAGAATACAAAACCACAAGTTTTTCTGACATTTGATTTGCTGCTTCATTTTGTTGAACATTCTGGTTCTGATTTTCTCAGAGCCTATATGCCGGTTCGGTCACCAGATACAGCATTTGAATGGACTTGCAGAAGAAACAGGGAAGACAGTAATGGCAGATGCAACACAAACTTTTTTTTTTTTATTCAAACATTTCGATTCGTAATAATGTGAACACAAGTTGTTGAATACTTAAAATTCTTAAAGTTGAAACACTCTCTCTCTCAAAGTGCAATACTTCAATGAACAAGTTTCAACAATATTCACCTTCTGTAGTTTTTAAGACAACAAAACAAAACAAGAGAGATTATGTCTGAATCAACATTACATTTGAATCTTGTTTATGATCTTACAAAATCCCATTCTCGGATTTGTTTATTTCTCACAAAATCCAAACTCATCTGAGAGTTATTAAGAAAACAGAGGAAAAACAAAAAAACCAGAAATCGAAATCACCAGTCTTGAGGAACCAGTTTTCGAGTGGCTAGATTACTCTTCAGCAGCAACAACACTAATCTCACCTCTCTCAAGCAAGTCGTAGAAAGCCCTCGTTTTCCTCTGTTCGTTCCAATGGTGCATCTTCCAGAGACCACCAGCAGCTAAACCGAGTGCCAAACCGATAACTAACTCCTTGACAACGCTAGGCCCTTTCAATGTCGCATGTGCAACCTTGTGTCCTGCCA